CCCCAAAACCCCAAAACCCCAAAACCCCATCATGATTGAATTGAATTGGATTTGAATTCAATTAGTATATTCAAGTTATAATTATAATTTGAAAATATAGTTCGTATTTAGCAAAGAAACAAACTACTAAGAAAAATGGAAGACAGTGGAAGCTTAAGCGATCTAGATTTGGACGTGCCTCCCAAGATGACTTTCGAAGAGGCGAAGTCTCAAATATTCAAAGATCCAAAGCAAATCAAACACAAAAAAGAATTGCTCAAGACAATGTACTACTATTGCAGAGATTGTAAGTTGCCATTCATGCTAATTACAATTTATTTTTGAATACCATTTTTGACTTCATTTGTTTAGAGAAGAAAAATTCAAGGCTTATCACGATTTTCTTCTGGCCAATGATAGTTTAGCTGATTTTAGAGAAGAATAACAACAAAGTTTCACTATTTGGACTTAAAATCTTGAACTCACTCATCTAAGATGACGGTATTAACGAAGAAATCATTAGAGTATCGATGCCAGAAAAGCAAAAGGAATTACAAAACTAGATTAACCAGCAAAACAAGGACACGCCCAGTATTGCTCAGTAGCCAATGAGCAAAGAGTAGCAAGACAAGGACAACAAATACAGGGAGCAAGAGAACCTAATTCAAATTCTTAAAGATACCAAGATAGTTACAAGCGAAGAAATAGATGCGGACAAGCACTACTACCTGGACAGAATGAAGGAGCTAATGAAGCACAGTGTGAATCCAGTATCAGCTCTGGTAAAAAAGATTCTCGCCACAGATAGCACCATGATTATGAATGAAGCCACTAAAGCACTTAGGAATTTTTCAAAGACTCAAGTGGTGATTGACGAATTAATGAAAGAGAACAGACTGCTCGCCATCATAAGAAGCAAATTTATGGATTCAGATCCTTTGAGTCAGCAGTACATATTGGAAGTGATTTCAATGACTTGCAAGTTCCAAAACTACAGAAAGGAACTAGTCATGCATGAGGACTTCATTGAGATAATAATGTCCCAGGTCAAGTCCATATCTACCAAAGTCACCTACTACACCCTCAAGATTTTCAGGCAACTAGCCAAAGACGAACAAAATCTGAGCAGACTGCAAGGAGAGAAACTAAGACTCTCACATAAATTGATATATGCGTTCAAGTGGCTGGATAGCAAGAACAATCAGGATAATAACAACAATAGCGACAATCAAAATGATTTCCAAGATTTCCAAAAACTTCCCAAGGATTTCAGCAAAGATCAATAATAAGATGGAACCTAGGTGAATGAACTAGACATGATATATAGGGAAATCTCAAAGACATTCCAATACATCCTGAAATACTACGACATTCATTAGAAGCTGCTTAATGAAGCCTAGGCTAAGCAAGCCAGCACTGGTGAGAACGGATTCACTGAAAACGATATCATTGACACCATCATATCTCTCGGCAAAGCAACTAATGATCCAAAGACTACTCTCAATGCTGCAACTTCTTTAGCTCATATCACTGAGATTCTGCACTGCAATGATGTTGTCGCCTCTCAAGATGCAATTGAGTTCATGATGGACATGCTAAAGGACACCAAGAACATCAAACATCATAGATAAGGCTGCAGGTACTTTGCCAATTTGAGTTTCTACAGCAATCACAGAAACTCCTTAGTGCAGAATAAGATCACAGCATACCTGCTAGGAGCAATTGAAGCTGATGGACTACTGGATGAGGACACCATCAAGCATAGTGCTATTGCCCTGGCTAATCTAAGTTCTCACAAGGATTTTATGACCCAGACTCAGAAGCCAGGTAAGGGTGATCTTGCATAGATATCAAAGGTTGAGAGAGGGAAGATTAAACCCCTCATTCATCTTTTGGATTCTGCGAAAGAAGGTAAGATCAATCTCATTCAGAGTGCATGCATAACCCTTTGTAATATGGCAAGCAAGCCAAGTCTGCATTAACATTTCGTGCAAGAACCAGAAATATCTACTATCAAGAACTGTCTTTAAAATCCTATTGATAAGGATAATGGGAATGAGCTTGCGAGATTCATGATAAAGTTAATCTGCAATCTAACTAAGAATCCTGAAATACTTCCGCAACTCTCAAAGAAGGGATTTTTAGAGATATTATTTGACCTACTTAACCCTGAGAAAGAAAAGGAGATATTTGGAAATGTAGTAACAGCGATATCTTATATGAGTGTATTAAAAGAATGTCAAGATAAAATAGTGAAGCATAAGATACTCAGCAGAGTTTTAGAGCCAATCCAGCAGATCCATGAAGTCGATCAAAAACTGGTAATAAATTTTTAAGATATGATTCTCATTGATAAAAAACATGATAAATATAAATTTAATCTTAATTTCATAACTTTAGATCATAATAGCTTTGACTTCAATGCTATTTAACGGCATAGAGCTGCAAAGAGAGTTCATTAAATACAAGGGATTAGATACTTTGCTATTTTTTATGAATCTCAAGGAAAAGCTATTTTAGCAGCTTTCTTGCAAGTGCTTCTCTCTGCTATCTGAAAATAATGATAACTTAGTAAGTTAATTAAGATTTTATAGTATAATTTAGACAGAGATACTTACCTAAGATTGCCTAAGTAGTGTCATTATTTCTTGCTTGAAAACAAAAGACATAGACCTTGAGACTTTGAAGGAGATTACTAAAATCTTTATAAACTTGATACTTTGGAGAAAGCTAAGAAAGGATATGATAGAGACCACTTGCTATCTATGTGACATAGGATTTATGATCAAAGACCTAGATATGAATATCTTAGCCATCTTTTGTCTTAATTCTCTTTCAGAAAATGAATACTCTCACCAGTATATCATAAAGTCCTGTATTGATGATGGAGTGAATGCTGAAGATATTACTTAGCAATCAGGAATCTTCTAAAGAATCAACTATCTGCTAGAGCTATATGAGTTACATTAAAAGTAAGAGGATAAACTTTAGAGTGATACTCTCAAGTACGAATTATTAGTACAGCTAATCACTTCTTTCTACCTAAATCTCTCAAGAAATGATGATAACTTAGAATTTTTACTAAGTCTGAAGCTATTTAAAAAGCTTAACAACTTAATGCTGACTCACTTACAGACTTAAAAGGTAAAAGCTTCAGATAACACAGCACTCTGCTATACTAATACAGTGTTTGGAAAGCTACTCAAAACTTCTTAGAGTAGGAAATAGTGCATAGAAGAAGAGGGCCATAAACTTTTCATAAACATTCTAAAGAACAAGCAAAATGAATACCTATTCCTTGAAACTCTAGACTCAATCAAACTATTCATCACAAAGAGAGAGTACCTTAATAAGTTCCATCAAATCCCAGCAAGTATGGAGTTATCAAACACTTCTCACGAATTAAATGTTTCTTATCTTTAGGTGCTAGCCATACTGTCCTTTGAGAAGGATAATCATAAGTCACTAAAAGAAATCAATTTTGTGGAGAAACTTGAAAGCAAAAACTTATTTGAAATGATATTCAAGCACTTCGAGATGCTTAATGATGATAGAAAGAAGCAGAACAGACTAAGCACTATTAACAAGAAAAAGTTAAAGATAGATAAAAAGGAGTTAGTTGAAGAGTTCAAGGACCCAGATGAGGAAGATAAAAAGTTGAGGAAAAGGAATAAGATGAAAATTGATAAGGAAAAGGATCTGGAATTGACTCTTGCTGTCAGTATAATTCTAGCTAATCTTTCATCAGATGATGATTTCATAAGGAATCTTCTGGCAATAAACAAATGGAAAAAGAAAGAAAAGAAGATGGCTATGGACGATAATGCTAATAACTCATAGATGTAGCAAATGATGTCATCCAGTTATCAATAGAACTCCCAACTTGGCCTAGAGTCACAGATGTCAGACCATAGTTTGTCTTATTAAAAAGAGGAATTAAAGTAAGGAGATGACTCACATGATTACATAAACGAAAATCAGCATTAAAAGCAAGGAATAGCAATGGGACTCCATTTAATAGATGATAATCATGCAATGGAAGATACTAGCAGATACAGTGACAACGAGAATAATCAACAAAATCTATTAGCTGTAGGAGGTAACCACCACCATCACAACCAAGTTTCACTCATTGAGGAGTTTTACGACGATAATAAGCTGCTAGAAATCCATGAGGTCTAGAGAATTCAAAAACTAATTGATCTTCTAAGTCATGAAAACTAATTTGTCACTGAGCAAATCGCCATCCTTCTGGCAAATGTTTCAAACTCTTCTTATTTCAAAAACATCTTTATGACGGAAAGCTCAAAGAAGGCGCTCCAGAAAATTCTCAAACTCGACAAAAAACATAAGCCGACTCAAGTAACCCTTTTAGCTATATTGATTGGAGTACTGAATCTCTCAGCATTGAAAGACATGGACAAGGCAAATGATAATATCAAATTTTTCTCAAGTCTCGAGGATATAATCAAGAACGACCAGCTGCCTTATGTTACCAAATCTATCGCACTGCTAGCGATCTCTAATATCTACACCCTCTCTAAATCGATATCAATATCTCACGAGACTAGAGACTTTGCCTTCCACGTGCTTTAAAACTGGAAAGGTATTGCTGAAGAGCATGTAGAGCAGCAAAGTACTCAACAGTAATAATAAAACCTAATGGACTAGCATTAGACTCATAACTCCCTAGTCGTTGCAACCTATAATCAGCATATGGAAATCGTAAAGAATCTAATATACTCATCAATGATCTTGTTCTACAACATGATTCTCAGAAAGCCGAATAAAGACATTATAAAGAAACTGATTCAGATAATAACTGAGAATATTATAACTTTTGATGATCAGTAAATAGTAAACATTGTACTTGAGCTAGTTACTTTATTCACCAAAGAAAAAGAAATTGCTCTTCTTGTTTTTAAGAATATGAGTATCTTAGAGTACACTTTTGACAAACTGAAGGTATGCCACAAAGAAACTTTGAAGATGAGTGCTTTGGCTTTAAGCAGACTGGCAGCCAGACTAGATGAGTATAACAGCGAGTTCTTCATAATAAACCTTAGAAAATTCAAGGACTTCGACTAGGTTGTTGAAAATATTAACAAGATATAAAATCATGAGCAGATGGACGCCATCCTCAAGTACTTCTTAAACTTCTTGGAAAACGTCAGCAGCTTCAAAAAGACTAGAGATGAGCTTGACTGCTCTAAATGTATGTTTATTTTCAAGTTAATATATTATAACTAGTGTACGATTCCACCATTCTACTATATACTGAAAAGATCAGCCTTGAGAACAAAGTATCCCTTATCAACATTATCTTTAACTTGAACTTCAATCTGACTGAACCTAGAGTGCTCCCTAAAGAATTCTTGAGACTCTTATATAAGACTTATAAGGATGAAGCTATGCGAGATGACTAGAAAACTCTTAGAAAAATCATAGTGCTGATTGTCTCAGCCTCTGCTCTTGAGGACAATCACAAGAACCTGATTAAATCTGGATTTTACACCTAGTTCAAGAAGAACATCAATGAACTCTACGAGAAACTCATCGAGGCAAATGAAGAGGTAGAATTGTTTGGACTAGTCAATATTGCTCTAAACAAGAAGTACATGAATATGATTTATCAGGATTTGAAGAAGATATACAAGATAGCGCTTAAGAACTAAAAGATCGACTTCAAGACCAAGGTAGATCTGTTCTCAGAGTGTTCTAAGTTCTTGCACAAGATTTCAAACTCTTCGCCAGAGAAAGGAAATTAATAAGCAGCAAATGAGAAGGATATTTCATCAGAGATGATTGATCACTGCTTGAAGGCGCTCTTATTCTGTTTGATTTAACTCATTTAGATGATGGATGAGACTCAGTACTAAATGTTCAAATATTTCCTCAATGCTATCCTGGAATCAACCAAAAACCTTAAAAATGTAATACATTGATTTCTAACAGTTATTTAGCACTTGATTATGCTGATAAAAATAGACCATCTCCTTGATTTCTTATCGCTTGTGATGGTAAAAGACTTTGAGTTCCAAATGAAGGAATTTGATGACCAGGTGTTAAATTTCTCACTCAGAATTATAGTGTGTGAAATCTTTTTCAACCTCAAATTTGAAAAGAACTTTTTCAAGAGGGAAAATATAACTGTAATTATTATTATAAATAACTAATGCTTTTGTTGATAGGATTAAATTAAGCTTTTGGTAAACTTTGCATAGAAAGTGATTACTATGAATATTGATAAGAAGATGACCATAGTGTCTAACACTCTCAGGCTTTTGTCTTAAATGATTGCGAATATTCATGCCTAGCCCTATGCTCACGAGAAAATACTCAGAACTAATGCTGTTGAATTTGTTAAAGAAGCCATGACATTATCTAAAGATCTATAGCCATGTGTAAAATATTATTACTTATTCAAAACTGGATATAGATTAACATTGATGCTTTATTTTGCCTGACTAATATGATGAATATAAGAGAACTTGCGCTGAACCCAGCTATTTTAAATCAAGAGACAGTGAATAATGCCTTGATTATATACTTTGCATACAATCACCAGGTCGAATTAGATGAATGCATTATAACATTCCTGTACTCAATCTCCAAGATGACAGAGTATTAAATGCTGCTGAAAGATAAGAGCAAGGTGCTGTTTCATTTGATGGACAAGCATCTTGATTCTAGCAAAGGAGAAGGATATAAAGAGTCCTGCAGAAAGAAGATATTCAGTACTATCCACAACATGACAGAAACTGAGGACGTTTGCAATCAGCTGAATGTGCCTAAATTCATTTAACTAACCAATAAAATGCTCTAGCAAACCTCTCAAAACCTCTACTCCTCCGACAACATCCATGAACTCGCCTTGAAATCACTGATCAACATGTGCAGAAACAATAATGAGAGCCTCTAAGAGGCAAATCTCAAAGAGCTTTTCAGTGGAATCTCCTAGCTTTATTCGAGGTTCAAGAGCTTAGCAAAGTAGTATGCACTTCGTCTGATAACTTTGCTGACTAAACAGTGGAATGCCTAAAAGATTGAAGAGTACTTAGTAGAGATTGTAGAAATCATTTCATAGTTTATAGAGAGATGTGACTCAATGATAGAAATCAGATTGGCACTTCTGAATATTGAAAGGATATCATTCTTTAAGAAGCTGATGATCAAACTTGCTGAGGTACCTTGCGAGTCACTAATTAAGAATATTGGAAACTTTATCCAAAGGTCCATGAACAAAGAAGACTATAGTCTGCCTATTGAGTAACTTATAAGATTCTGTAAAAAGTTCTCCAAGTAATCCGATTCACATTAATACCTAGTAAACTACAAACTACACTAGCTTTCACTGGACTATATAACTAAATTCCAAAACTTAAATTACAAGGACTTTAGTGAAAAGCAGCTCAGATCAGTACTAACAGCCATTCAGAATGTGATGAAGCTAGTTAAAAATCTATACGAGGGAGGATCTATTTCTGAGCAATAGAAGCAAGACATATTTGACAAAGTGTCTTCAAAAGATAACATTATATTTATGGCTGACGAACTTCTTAAGAACTATCAAAATAATGATGAACTGGCAATAATGATAATCAATATAATAATCTGCTTCAACTCAATCTAGAACAAACTAGAGTCATCAAGAGTCAAATCCTGGATAAGCAACTTTAGCTCCAGACTCATTGAGTCCTCCAAGCCAGAGTTTTAAAAGGCAAGGTAGTGGTACCTTGAGAAATATGTGTTTATTATAGAGCTTTTGGTGATTAAAAATATTGATAAGATCGATAAAGAGATTACTGATGATATTTTAAGGGTGCTTGAGATTGATACCACTGCTTTTACCAAAACTATTTGGTTTAAAATAATGAAGATATTGGGACATTTATAGTATTTACAAGAGATTACAAATCAAACGATTTTGGAATAGATATTTAAATTCATAATATAGGCTTATGAAAAAGCTAATGAACATCTCTGCTTTTATTATTTCATGAGAATTATAATTATGATCATTAAGAAAGTTGATAACAATGCTTTATTCAGAGCATCTAAATTCTATCAGATAATATTTAGCAGTTCAGTCTAATTCCTAAAGGCTAATTATAAAGTTAATAACGATCCATTGATTCTTGAGATTCTACTATATCTTGTTGACTTCTTCAAGTATCTGATGAACTTTTCAATGCTATTCATAAATCTTAATAACAATATGATGTATGATAATAATCAAAGAACTAAGTAGAATCAATTGTCTGTCAATGAGATTATCAACTGCTTTGTCGAAATGCTTGGTATTCATGATAATCCATCGCTAATTAAAGGACTTACTAGCTCACTTGTAGAGGCTTCAAAGATTACAGCGTTCTTCCCTGATATCCTTAATGATCAATCATTGAACGTTATCTTCCACAAGATCCTTAACGGAAGCAGTCTTGAAAACAAAAGCCTTGACAATCTGAGTGACTGCTTTAAAAATATACTGCTTCAGACTAAAATTCCCATTAAATACTTAATTGCCTCTACTATACTCAGACTTACTGAGCCTAAGCCAAGTTGGAAAGATAAGGATGAGGGAAATATAATAACATTGATGAAGATTCTATAGCAGGTTATTAAGTCCCTAGAAGAGAGTAAGGATGCCGTACAGTCAAATGCCTAGAACCAAATGGACGATGAAAATATGGATACATTCTCTGAGTTGCTTAAGAAGTCAACTAAATACAGTCTTATAGCAATCACTAATATTCTCATTAAAACTAATGCAGAGTATATTTTCAATAGGAGACTCAATCTAGCGTAGATTATGATCGATTACTCTAACTTTGAAGCAGACTCTCAACTAAATTTGAGGTTCTTGTATTTGCTTTACATATGCCTTGATAAGAACATAGGCAAGGATATTCAGCCTTCTACCATGCAGAGTCTGACTAATTTCTTGCTATCTAATGTTCACAAGTACAGCAGTGTGCTGCTTATGAAAGAATGCTATCACTATGAGATTACTACATTCAAGACGAATCTGCAAATACCAAATATTCTTCATTCAAGCTCAGTTAGCACTGTGTTTACACATCCAACTAAGCCGAGAGAGACCTCAGGCTAGATTACTGTAGGCATTTTAGATAATGGAAATCATACTGAGACCAACAGAATAGCAAAAGCTCATTCAACAATTACATAGCAGGATTTGCTAAATGTCCAGGCTCTAGGTGGTTTCGGTTCATCAAGTCCAAGTGGTTCATCATAAAACTCGTCTTCTTAGAATAACACTCAATATCTAGATTATTTCTTCTTTGAAAACGAGGAAAATCCAATTAGGAAAATTGATGCTATCAGACTGTCACTCTGTATGACTATCAAAGTTATTTATAAGTTATCATCGATAAAGAAGATGGCATACTGTCAGTTCATATTGGAAAATGAGTTGTCTGCTGAGATATTCAAATATCTGATCCAATATATTGAAAATGGTGATCAATCATGTTTCAGAGAGATTTACTATGTAATTAAGATCATAAAGAACTGTTCTGAGTTTATTCAACTGCACTCCTTGATATTGCAGAAGGACACAATTTACTATCTGATTAAAATCGCTGAGAAAGCTATTTAAGAAGAACCTCCTAATGCTCAGAATTTCACTCAAGCACTTCAATAGAATCAAGATCAAAATCAAGTCGACTCTAACGAGAATTTCAGCTTAAAGATGAAGTCTTTGATTATTGCAATATTAAGGACAATGATGAGTTTATGCACAACATCTGAATTCCAGTGGCATATCTAAAAGTACAACATACTAGATTTGGTCTCAAAGCTGAAGGAGAAGGATGACTAGAAGATCAACGAGGTTGTGAAGGACTTCTGGGAGAAGGTGGTATATCACAGCACTGAGTCTACATACTTGATGGCAGAACAAGATTTCTATACTGAGATGGCCAACATTATTCATGAGAGAGAAGATAAGCAAATAAAGACTCTTTAGAACATTGAAAATGCACTTATTTAGAAGAAGGTAAAGCTGGACAAGTTTAGCAACCACGAGTTAGACATCCTATTAAAGCTGCTTAAATTGGGTCAGACTGACGACGAGCACCGATACGAGTTTATTTAGGCTAAGAAGTCAATCTTGAACATTATGAATTTTATCTATGTCAACAAATTCCTCAAAGAAAACATGCAGCCAAGCATTCTTTTCATCGATTCGAACTAGGAACTCAGTAGCAACCAGATTGAAATCCATAAGAGTTCCTAAGCCTTCGTAGCAAGCATAGTGGAAAGACAAGACATGCTCAATACTCTGCTGTTTATGGCTCAAAACCCTAAGGTCTATTGGGAAGTATTCGAGCGCATCAGCGAAATCACTAATTCCTACACTCAGAGCAACTACATGAGAGAGGACTGTTTGATAGAGTATGTAATGCCTATCTTCTATCAGGTGGTCAGTTAAAAGGAAGGAAGTGTAAGCGTTGGCTCTCTTAACATGGTGCTTAGCTGCATTATCAGACTACTTAAAATGGAAGATACTCAGCATTTGATACTTACGTAGTATGACTTGCCATCGTTGCTGTCTCAAGTGATTTAGAATACATCAGCATTCAACAATGATATGTTCAATACTAATCTAGAGATAATTGTGAAGCTGATTTACTATAGTTCTGAAAAGGTTTCTCCTTCATCTGAGCAGTTCTTACTCAACCTGATTTCAAACTAGCAAAGCGTTGAACTTAACAGACTCGGCCTATTCTCACTTTACTGTCTTTCACTTGCGATTCAGGAGCAGAATTAGATTCACAACTTGTTCCTATTTGACAGAGACTTGATACTCAGAGGTATTTTCGCTTTCTTGAATGTCAAGAGAAAGCAAATTGAGACTAAGATTAATACTCAATCACAGCATAGCTCTACTGGCTCTACAGTTCAGTAAAACATCAACGGAAAGCTTAAGCAAGTTGCTCTCTAAATCATAATCAATGTCTTGGAGTTAGTAACTTAGGAAGCAACAAATAATGATCTAATCATCGGAGAGGAATTTGGAACGATTGCACAGAAAATTATAATGGATTTCAATTTCCTACAAATACTCACTATTATCTGCTTCAACAATGAACACAACATTGAGGATAGAAAACTAGCAGCCAGAGGCTTTTCAACTGCGCCTTTCCATCTCATAATGAAACAAAACCCTCTAATTTTCTAGAAATAGACCAACTAGCAGACGAACTAGATGTATGAGCCCTTTACGATTCAATCTTTCTTTTAAGGCCTTGGCATCATTATAAAGATCTAGGACAATGAGTCTACTTACTTCGCTCTTTTCACTCTGTTTAACTTTCTCTCTAATCTTAATTTCATGAATGAAAACGCTCATAATCCCTCATAAAGCTCTCTCTAAGTGCAATCATCAGGGATTTTAACTTTGGATTAGATTAGCAAGACTAAGCTGAGTTAGATTGACTATTCGATGATGTGCGCTTGCTTGATTAAATCAGAGTTAATGCAGATTATCTTGATGCAACCATTGAAAACTGATGACGAGGATGTGATGAGAATATCGATGAAACTGCTCATTCTAATTATGTTTAAGGGATAGTACAATAAGATCATACTTCATTAAGAATCGGCTAATAATAATCACTCATAGAATATGATGATGGGCGGTAAACTCAAGGTAGATTATAATGCCTTCTAAAATCAAGTTTTCCAAGAATTGCAGATCGACATGCCAGCTGAGGAGCAAAAAAGCAAGGATCAGATTAGAGAACTAATTAGCAAGTTCTAAAATTTTGAAGTCACTTAAATCTCAAACAGTGGCTATGTCCAATTCCTACATTTCCTGTCTCAAATTATTATGAAAACAGCAATATACTCTTCCTAGTCAAATGTTATCAATCAAGAAGAAAAAGCAAAAATACTGCCTCCTCCCAATATTCTTGCAGACATAATTATTAAGAGCGCAATATAGATTCAAGGAGAGAAGGAGACTATAAAGATATTACAGTCAAATGACAATGCATCTAGAAAGATGCTTTTATACAAGTACTTCTTCTTCAACTATTTGCTCTCAGTGACAATACCAGTGATTATACAGCACATTCATTTGTCTATGTTCCACGGCTAAGCGGACGATAAGATGAGAGACATTCCAGACAGAATTTTCAAGACTCTAATCTAGACTTTAGACCTCTTTAAAGACTAAAACTTGAATTCGATTCTAGACCAAATAATGGTTGATGTAGAGTAGCCACTATCTAATGCCAATCAATATGAAGAGTCAAAGAATGATGGCAAGAAGTATAACAGTGGTGGTGACGAAGAAGATGAAGATGATGAGGATGAAAACGAAGACAGTTCAACCACCAGTTCAATCTTGAGACTAATTTTATTCAATATTGAAAACCTACTCCGAAGTTCCATGCCTTTCTTGAATGACCAGCATAACTAGGAGAGTAAGAAGTTTAAGCAGAACAGCAATTATGTTCCAGAGTTCTTCATAATGCAAGAGCCAGTATTCGATGTGCTGGTGAATCTGCTGATGGAAAATGAAGAGAATGGAGATATAGTTGAGACTATCTACTCAATATTAGATATATTCATTCAGGTTGCAAGAGGATCAAGCACTCATGAAAATGTGAAGGTTATGGAGTCATCAAAGATGCTGATGTCTCTTGGAATCAAGCACACTGCAATTTATCAATGTGACGTTTCCTATCATTTCCTGCAAAAGCTCACTACTATTTCTGAAAAGTACAAAGGAAAGCCTGAAGTTGAAAAAGCACTCCAACAAATAATACCATTGCATCTCAAAGAATAGATGGACTGATTTCATATTGACTATAATTCGAACAATTATTAATTTTGATTATTTCATAATTTCAAACATTTCTCTCAATTATAATCTCAAGGGGTTTTGGGGTTTTGGGG